TATGCCGAGTTTCTCGCGCACGCAACCGGGTGCGGCGCCGTGGATGGGCCGTGGCGTCGTCGCGAATCGCGGCCGCGAGCAGCGGCCGGCGTGGCAGCAGGCGCAGGAGAACAACGGCGACGATTGGGATGTGAGCGAGTACAAGACGACGCGGTATAAAGATGTTGGGGCTGGGTATGCGGGCGGGCCTGGGAAGGGGAGAGGGGATGCGGCGGAGTTCCGTGGGGGCTTTGGAGGGCGGGTACCAGTTAAGAAGGACGGGTTTGGCATTGGGCTTGGGTACCAGGGAGGGCCGATGGGAGTGGACCGTGACAGCCGACCGCGCGGCGGCGGCTACGCCAGGGGCGACAGCGACACTGATGGGTATGGGTTTGGAGGCAGAGGTGGACAGGGAGGTCAAGGCAGCCGTCGGAGTGACAGGGACACGGGTGGGTATGGAGGCAAAAGGGAAAAGGAACGGGCGCCCAGACGGCCCTGGGAGGGACGTGGCCGTGGAGCGCGCGATCGCTGAGAGAACAACCAGTACCAGGCTAGACGCTGCGGGCGTTGACGGTCTTCCTTTTACATGTTGTACAGACGTATAGTATACTACTTCTTTATATCCTTGCTCAGTAAAAGTAATAGAATCTCTTTCCATCACGGTGGACCTGGGGAGTGTTTATTTCAAGTGAGGAAGACTCGACTCTGTGGAAGAGTTAAAGTTCCGCTTCAATTCGACACTGTCCGAGCTTCTGCGTCTGATTTTTCTTTTTGCCGCGTTGAGAGGTCGATGGAGCCGAGCACAATGCTTGAATGAGAATCCAAAGGCAATGATATAAAGAGCATAGAGATCCTGGGCCGGGCGCCTACTTTGGTCCAAACTCTTACGCGGTCCTTAGGGCTAACCGATTGTTAATAGTTGCCTCTGACCGATATCGTACCTCCGAGGTACTACCTCGTCGAGTCGTAGAGCCGACGAAGAAACGATTTGCGACATTTACCGAGGCTCTGGCTCAGAAGTTTTCGCAAAAATCCTCATTTCTCAAATTACACCCGGGTCCTAACCCGATGCATTAGTAGAAAATTGCCTAACTTGGACGAAAGCGGTTTGCTATGCTTTGATGGTGTACAAACAAATCACAACAACTCATTGTTCCACTCTGCAGTTTTGAAATTCTTCATCGACAGCGCTCTGAGCAATCGCGAATAGCATCCCTTATGGCTCATATTTCGAATAGGCCTCTTGCTCGAATGGCGCTGCTGTCGAATCTTCTACGCCATAGAATTGTGTGCACTGTGAAACTCCCGGCCGACGTGTAGAGACTCTCCCTATCCGCAGACCTTGGTCCTCCGCCCGGGCATTGCTTGCATAATGCGTATGGGCCATCACTTCTGCCATTGTGCTCGCAGAATGGGCGAAATTGCGGTGCACGCGACCAAAATGGGCAGATCAAAATCCCATTGTCTGACAACAATGGAACCTTGTGTTGCCACTCGGACCTTGTGCCGGTGAAGAACAAAAGATTTTTGGGCGCTGCATTCCACAATGCCCGAGCTTACCTTTGGGCGTCCCCAACGTTGTTCTTCCTCTTTCTTTCCACTACCACCATCACCTTGCGTAATTTCGCGACGAGCAAGCTATGCTTGTTCTACCCGTTCTCTTCTCCGTCAGTAATCGTCAGTGTCTCTTACTACTGTTGCGCGTCATGTACTCATCGTTCGCAGTGGCAGCAACCAACACTTCAGCTATTGTCTGCACTGCAGGCCAATGCCTTCAAGGCTATTCTAACACATATCGTGCGTCTGCTCACTTGTCTGCACCGACTTTTACTCAACTTCGCTTCTAGTCGGCGTTACTATATCTGCGCCTGGGTCTCCGACGGCCCTCCTCCTTCCCGGACAATACACGTCCACAACAAATCCTCAACTCCTCCATAACCTCCTCACTTCCTCTTCTGCGACGCTCTCCCCTTCCCCGGGTTTCAAGAACTCCACAACTTCTCTCGCCCTCCCCCTGAACGTAGCACAGGAGCCGGGCTTGTCAATCTATGCCGGCGCACTATACTCTGGCGAGCCCGCGTTCACATCCATCCCCTCTGCACCCATCGGAGCCAACTCTTCTACGCCGTTGACCCTCGGTTCCCTCGCGCTCTCCTCAAGTGTATGGATTGCCGTCAACTTTCCTGCTCCGGGCAACTCGCGCGTCATCGTCTGGGATTCCATCCCCGACATTGCGCAGCTGCCCACTAGCGCCCCGAGCACGCTCACCCTCTTCGACATGGAGTCCGCCGCATGCTCCCCATCGTGCGCGTCCTCGGGCATCTGCACTGCCGCAGGCACATGCACCTGCGCACCAGGGTTCACGGGCTCCTCCTGTGAAACCTGCGCTGCGGGTTTTTTCGGACCGGGTTGCGCTGCGTGCCCGAGCGGCTGCAAGACCTGCGATGACGGCCCAACTGGGAGTGGACGCTGTCTCGACACGACGCCCGCCAATGCCCCGGCGTCGTGCAACTGCATCAACGGGGTCTGTAACGCCAACGGCAGCTGTACCTGCACCGCAGGGTTCACTACGGCCACGAACGGCACCGCGTGCAGCCAGTGTGCACCCGGTTTCTTCTTGACATCCACTGGCGACTGTTCCAGTAAGCTTGCAATACTTTCCACAAGTGAATCTGGTGCTGAGTACGTTTCTTTCTAGTTTGTCAGATCGGCTGCACCGCGTGCACGGACGGGACGGGGTTTGTACGGCGTGCAAGACGGGCTTCACGCAGGACGCGAACGACCGCACCAAGTGCGACGCCCGCCAAGCATCACGTCGTCGGGGACGCTCTGTCCCCCTGGTGCGTTCTCGGACGGGGCGAACTGCACGCCGTGCTCACCTCGTGCAAGACGTGTACGGCGGCACATCGAACGACTGCGTCCAGTGCGCCGCGGGGACGTACCTCTTCAACGGCGCATGTGTCTCGGCGGATGCCAACGGCGTCTGTGCTGGGTCGGCGTTGATCGCGGATAACAACAAGCTCGAGTGTGATAGTATGTTTCTTTCATTCTCGTGAGGATGTCCTGATCGATTTTTTTTCAGGCTGCGGTTCCAAGTGCACGTCGTGCAAGATCCCGAACTTTAGTTCCATCTCGACGGTCAACCAGCTCCAGTGCACGGGCTGCGTACCAGGTTTCTTTCTCTCGAACGGACAGTGTGTCGCGAGCTGCCCCTCCGGCCAGTTTGTCTCACCGCAGGATAATTTGACCTGCACAGGTGCGTTTGAATCGTCCACTTTCTAACGTCTTCTGATCGCCTCTCCAGCATGCGACTCGTCGTGCACGACGTGCACCGGCTCCTCCACATTCTGCCTTACTTGCGCCTCCAATCAACTCGCATCCTCAGGCAAATGTGTCCCTACCTGCCCCGCCAACACCTTCTCCTCCACGGGCTCCTGTCTCCCCTGCCACGCCGACTGTGCCACCTGCTCGGGCGCTTCCTTTACTCAATGTGCCTCTTGCCCCGCCTCCCGCCCCGTGCTCACCAACGGCCGTTGCCTTCCCACATGCAGCAAGACGCAGTTCTTCGATCCCACCTCGGAGACCTGTATCGCATGCGACGCGAGCTGCTCAAGCTGCTCCGGCGCGGGACCCAGCCAATGTCTCGCCTGCTCCAGCTCCGACCAGGTCCTCCGCGCAGGGACGTGTGTCGCCGCCGCGTGCCAGCAATCAACGATCGTCGTCCCCGGTCTCGGTGCATGCCTCTCCGAGCTTGTCTTTGTCCCCTCCTCGTCCTCCTCGGACCCCAACGCTGCACCCATCCCCAGCGCGACAGGCATCAACGCACCCACCGTGCTCTCCGCCCCCCGCCGCGCACTTGCGTGGTGGGAGATCCTCCTCATGGCGCTCGGCTGCGCGTTCATCTTCCTCGCGATCGTCTGGCTGTGGCGCCACCGTGCGCGCAAACAGCGCGCACAGCGCACGGCGCGCTTTGCGGAGACGAGACAGCTGGATCCTGTAGGATGGCGGTGGCGGCTGCTGCGGTTCGGTGAGAAGCTGTTTGGACATCGCAAGAGCCGGCGCGCTCAGCCGTCGCCGCCCAAGATTTCCAATCCCATGCAGCAGAGCGAGGCGGTACAGATGGCCAAGATCCGGCGGCGGAGGAGGCGAGGGATGCGCGGGACATGGACAAACTGCTTGCGAACTACGAGTACCCGCGCGGAGAGCGGGTGCAGCACTACCACCATCATCACCTTGATGTGCAGCGCGGGCACGACCGCGGGGATTCGCTCAGCACCACGAGCACGCTGTCCGCGCCGTCGCTCTACTCGCAGGTGACGGGCAAGCCACACCGCGTTCCTGAGCCGAAGGAGCCTATCAAGTCAGGGCGCGATATCCCCGTATCCCGCTTCTCGACGAGCACGATTGACGAGTATTATTTGAACCCCGCGCCGCTGCCGCCGAAGGATTCGCGGACTGGCGCTAAGAATCCGTTTCGGAGATGATTCGATTATGATACACGATACATGATTTGCATGGACCACAGACCCCACCAGGACTATAAAACACTTTCCTTTACATTTGTACTACACCGCACGCTCATTTCTTATATCTTTATTCCCTTCGATGTATTCTTATATGTATGCACAATCGATTTCCTTGAATTTTTCTGGGTGACGGGACTGATCAGTCAATACTTGGCTTGTGAAATCGAGCAGAGGCTATGAATCGGGAGGGAGAGGAGTGAGCTGAGCCCCAGTTCCAGTACGGACGGTTACAGTGCTTCGGGAGAGGGGCGGGGCTCTCAGCACAAACCTCGCGGAAGGGTTCGGAGCAGGTGAATTTCACTTGAGGCCCGAACTTGTGCGACGATCGTTTGCACAAAAAATGAGAGCGACGGTTGAGGGGAAAGGGAAACTTGAGCAGAAGTGGGGAACGTAAATTGATATTTAGGATTGCGTTCTCAGCACTGCAAATCGAGTTATGAATTTAAACCTAGCTCGGATTTCAAAAGAAAACCAAAACACGGAACCTAGAACCAATTCCAGTACGGGGAGTCGAACCCCGGGCTAGTGCGATATCAGTTGGACCACGTGACATGCCACCTGGACGGCCTGAAAGGCACCGATGTTACCGCTACACCATGCTGGAGGTATTGGGCGGAGGAACAGATGGGAATAGAGGGACGGGGATTGGGAATGAAGGTGGGCCGCCGCAGATTTGGTCATCTGACATGAGTGGGTGGAAGTCGTGTGCAGGAGAAAAACAAACTTAGCCGGGAAGAGATATAGTTGTGGGTTCGTAACAACACCGGAAATTGTTCGAAAACATTGCCTTGACATACTGTACTGAAAAACATTCTGGATTTTCACAGTGCGAAGTAACAAAAAAATTAAGGAAGGAACACAAGCCAGCTAGCAGTCATTCTACTATTCATCTATCAAAATCTACTCACCATCCCAATCGAAAACCTCCCGACTCCATTTCTTGCCAGGTACCCCCGCGAGGTCGCGCCTCCTATACTGACGCCCCTCGCACCCCTCGCACTCCGAATCCGATACCCGCGACTCGGAGTGGGAGAAATGAAGCTCCAACTCAGAGCGCGTGAATTCGAAGCAGCAGGTGTTACAGAGGTAGCCCTAGACAAGCACGCACAGCTCAGACCAGGCAAGCGGTAGAAGGTAGAAGAAGTAGGGAATTATAAAACGTACAGGCAGAGTGGACTTGAGTTGAGCGAGCAGTCTCGACGTTAGCCCGGGCGGAAAACGGCGAACGGAACAGAACGTACGGGATCGGGTCTGTGGTCCTATCATACATGACAGAAAGCGCGCGTCAGCGAATTCGAAATGCGAGAAGAGAAGAGAAGTGGTATGTAGATGAATGGATGGACGAACCAGCCGGATAGCGGCTTGACTTCGCTCACGCGGAGGGGCCCTCGACTTCGACGTCCCCGCCGCAGGATCGTGGTCCTGCCCGAAGAAGTCAATCAAGCACGACGAGAAGAGGCGTACATGGAGTCAAACCGTGTGCGTGTGCGACGAGGCCTTCCCCTTCCCCTTGTCGTCGCGATCTTCGTCCTCGCTCGGGCTCTATGAGGTCGGTCAGTCGTATCGTCACTCACGAAGGATAGGACGCACGGCAAGAGCACGGGCGCGCTTGCGCGACGAGGCCTTCCCCTTCCCCGTACTCTGGTCGGCGTTGCCAGCTTCGTCCTCGCTGTAGCTCTGCGGCATCGGTCATTCAACATCGTCACTCCTCGAAGGGATGGTATGCATACGCACCCGCGCGCGCTTGCTTGCGTCCAGATCGTGCGTGGATGCGATAGGCTCGGCGCGGATGCTCGTCAACAGTGCCTTTACCTCCTCGGATTGCACGAACTCCACGAGGTGGGTCACGAGGGGACGGGGGATGTGGATCGAGGCATATCGCATGAGACAGGCGACGAGAGTCCGTAGATCCTGGATGACCGTCGCTTTGGACTCGGAGTCGAACTCTCCGTCTATGGATGCCCCCAGATGTAGTAAGAAATATTTGATAGCGCCTGGGATTCATCATTCATGTCAGCGCCGTTACTGTAATGGCAGACAGTCGCGCCACGTACCTTGGGGAATGGAATCTTTTGGAATACCCGGCTCGATTTCGCTGGGGAGGTCGGGGAATTTGTCCTGACAACTGGCGAAATCCCTCCACCTCTTCTTCAGCATTTCGTGGACATCGAGGGTGGCTGCAGGGAGCCGTGCGAAGTGGTGGATATTATTGAGGTTTTCATTGAGCATGGCATCCAGGGCTGGATTCTCTCTGCGACGCTGTTCGACACGCTCCTGCGGAGTCTGGCGTGGGCGTGAGATGAGAACCATATTGTGGTCAAGAAAAACGGGGGTATGCGTCGCCCACAGGGCGAACGAGGAGTAGTCAGCCAAAGGTGAACCTCATATACGTCGCGTCAGGCTTCTTCGTTTCCGGGACGCGTCCATCTAAGTCTTTCAATTTGCGGAAATCAGTGCCGTGCGTGACGTGCGGAAATCAGTCGTCGGGGTTTCAAAGTTGCTAAAGGCAGCGCTGCTTAGTTCAAATTTGTGAATGTCATATCCTGCAAGGACTCGAGCTCGGAAGAAGGCGGAAAGTAGAGAAAAAAACACCGGCGGTCGACATCAGCGGCATTTAGTGGATTGGCTACATAGGAACCGTTGCACTACCGTTGCGCGCGACGCAAAGTCGAGTGCACGAAGCTTTGGCACTCTGGTAGTCGGTGACGAGACATGCACATTGCAGAGAACAAGACAACTGACCGGCAAGCTGGCAATCTGTTACCGCTACACCATGCTGGAGATGGGGATCATTGCGGTGGGTTTGACTCGGAGTAGAGGATTGGGAGGGATCAATGTTAAGTTAGCGCTGCAGTCCGCTGCAATCCAATCGCGACGGGGGTGAAAGTGGAAGTGACGGGAAACAACGCATCCGTCAAGAACATTATGTCTAAATTATTTGATTCGACATACTAAAAAACATTCTGGATTATTAGTGTGAAGTACCAAAAACATGCTTTGACGGAACACAAGCTAGCTGCAGTCACCCATCTATGCGTCATAATCTATCTACTTGCCATCCCAATCGAAGACCTCTCGGCTCCATTTCTTACCTGGTACCCCCGCCAGCTCGCGTTTGCGATACTCCAGCCCCTCGCACCCCACCGAATCCAATCCCGACTCGGAGTGGGAGAAGTGAACTTCTAGCTCGTCGTGTGTGAATTCGAAGCAGCAGGCGTTGCATAGGTAGCCCTACGCACAGCTCAGATCAGAACAAGAAAGCAGTAGGGAGGGGGAGGCAGGGTTAGAGACGTACAGGAAGGGTGGCCTTGAGTCGAGCGAAGGAGGAGTCTCGACGTTAAACCAGCGAACAGAACGGAACAGAGAAAGAAGAAACGTACGGGGTCAGGTCGTCGGTCCTACATAACAGAAAGAAAGCGAGCCTCAGTCAGTGCAATGCGACGCGATGCGAGAAGTGAATACACGAACCAGACGGATGGCGGCTTGACTTCGCTCACGGAGAGGAGCCCTCGCCTTGGGTTTGGATTTGGATGTGGATGTGGATGTCCCCGCGTCGACGTCCTGGCCGAGGAAGGAAGTTAATCAACCACGACGAGGAGCGGTGCTGCGGCGGACATCGGGAGGCATACCGTGTGTTTGCGCGACGCCTTCCCCTCAGCGACTTCGTCGTCGCCGTGATCTTCGTCCTCGCGGGAGCTCTGTGACATCATTCAGTCAGTCGATATCGTCACGTAGACGAAGGATGGGAATGGGAAGCACAGGAAGAACGCGGGCGCGCTTGTGCGGCGGGGCCTTCCCCTTCCCCTCAGCCACCGCGTCATCTTCGTCCTCGCTCGGGCTCTGTGACACGGTCAGCATCGCCACTCATCGAGGGGGAAATGGTATACTACGCACCCGCGCGCGCTTGCTCGCGTCCAGATCGTGCGTGGGCGTGGATGAGGTAGGCTTGGCGCGGGCATCCACCTCCACCTCGGATTGCACGAACTCCACGAGCTGGCTCACGACGGAACGGGGGATGTCGATCGAGGCATATCGCAGGAGACAGGCGACAAGTGTCGATAGATCATGGAGGATCATGGCCTTGGTCGTCGCTTTGGACTCGGAGTCTGTGGATGTCGCCAGATGTAGTAAGAAATATTTGATAGCGCCTGGAATTCATGTCAGCGCAGTGAATGGCAGACAGTCGCGTCACATACCTCCAGGAATGGAGTTTTCTGTAATACCAATCTCAATTTCGCTGGGGAGGTCGGGGAAATCGTCTTGGATGCCCGCGTAATCCCTCCACCTCTTCTTCAGCATTTCGTGGACTTCTAGGGTGGCTGCAGGGAGCTGTGCGAAGTGGTGGATATTATCGAGGTTTTCCTTGAACATGGCGTCCAGTGCAGGATCCTCTTTGCGACGTTGTGCTGTACGTTTAAGCAGACTCTTGGGTGGGCGTGGGCGTGAGATGAGAACCATATTGTGGTCAAGAAAAACGAGGGTATGCGTCGCCCACAGGGCGAACGAGGAGTAGTACAGCCAAAGGTGCGCCTTATATACGTCGCGTCGGGCTTCTTCGTTTCCGGGACGCGTCCATCTTTGCGGAGATCAGTGTCGTGCGTGACGTGCGGAAATCAGTGTCGGGCGTCAAGCCCGACGCGTCGGGGTTGCTAAAGGCAGCGCTGCTCAGTTCGAATTTGGGATTGGGGTCGTATGGATGGTTCTTGGATGAATGTCATATCCTCGAGCTCGGAGGAAGGCTGAAAGTAGAGGGAAAAAAACACCGGCGGTCGAGATCAGCGGCATTGAGTGGATTGGCTACATAGGAACCGTTGCGCGCGACGCAAAGTCGAGTGCACGAAGTTTTGCACTCTGGCAGTCGGTGGACGAGACAAGACAGTGACTAAACCGGCAAGCTGGCATAGCCTGGCAACCACTGTGATCACTGCGCGCCGAGTTCGTAACCATGCATTTATGATTTGGGACTGCAACTTAGGGGAACTGAGACCAATCCTTCAATTTGGTACCACGATGACCGACCCAGTCATCCTCGTTCTCGCTGTCTGCCTTGTCGTCAGTAATATCAGCCGACTCTCACAACTATTTGTCCGGGTTCGAAGCATGCTCACTTTTCCTATCGGCCCCCGATTCAAGTTGGTACCAAACTTTGACGAACACGGTACGTCTCCCCCCCCGTGTACTGGTTCCCGCTTGAGAATGATCTGGACAGGCACCTTAATTGCATTCATCCCAATCCCACCTGCCAGTGACATGGACTTTATATCTGAGTCAACATCATCGAGCTTTGAACATCTCTACCACCCCGGACATGGATGGCAGACCTCATCTTTTATGCCCGTCTACCGGTACACCACAGTGGGAACCATCCAATCAGCATGTCCTGATATATGAACTGAAATCCGAGTCTGCCAGTCAGTTATTCCGCTAGGAACCCGGTATGTGAATTGACATTCTCGAGTAGAACGTATCTCGCAGTCAAATAATACCCGGGATAGACCTCGATCCAATCCTGGCGGGTGGAGTGCTTGGCCTGATGGCAAATTTGAACAGTTATTCAACTTGCAGCAATTGTCCGGCTCACACGAATTCGGAACGAACTGGGTG